AAGGTGGGCTTGGCCTACTTGTAAAATGTGGTGAAACTCACTTAACAATGCTCTTGCTTAGCAACCAAAATGTTGGCTCAGAAACTCTTGGCATTTGAAGCACGCAAGTCTTAAACCCTTGCACACTTAACCCTTTAGAAAAAAAACCCAGGGGTGTTCAAACTTGACAGCTTTAAGATTTGTGGACTTCAACTCCCAGAATTCCTCCTCCAATCATGTTGGCTCAGGAACTCTGACATTGAAGTGCAAGTCTTAAAGCTGTCAAGTTACAAGAGCCTTGCACCCCTAACCCTTTAGAAAAAAAAGCCCCAGGGATGTTCAAACTTGACAGCTTTAAGACTTTAGATAGGACTCTTAGAGGCGGGCAGGGCGATTGGTGAGCCAGCCAATCAGTGAGCAGTGGGTGGGGCAAGCGTGGTGTGGGGGGGAGGGGAAAGGAAGCTGGAACCGGTTTTAAACGGCACTGTAGATTTATGGAACCTCTTCTATAGAAGAGGTTAGAACTGGCAGGAACCCACCCCTGATGCATCCCCATTGCTTGAGCAGCCAACAAGCACATGCGCACATGCTCCATTTACCTGAGCGGCAGGCTCGCATGTGTAGAAAGGTAGCACCCACCCCTCTCCTAGAAGAATGAAATATTTTAGGAAATATTAAAAAGGCAGAATATTATATTTTCCCTAAAAGAGAAAGAGAAATCTTAAGGAAGACAGAAACTCAGAGCCATAGTTCCCTGCCCTCAAGCAGATCCTAAGCCAAGGCCAGCTTTTAGAAATGCAGATTTGGTAAGCCATTCAAGACCGGGTATTTTGAACAAAGGCAGACTTAGGTAGAATGGTAGGATCAGCCCTCACTCAAGATCCAAACCTGGAAATACATTAAAATACAATAGGAATGGCCCAACACCCTTTCAGAACACAAGCCTCTTCATCACCCAGCAGGCTTCAAACTTGATTCAGACAAACTGACCCCACATGGGCACATGGGAGTCTGACTACAGCAACCAATAGAATACATGCTCTTGCCACAGGAACAGGAAGCTCAAGGGCAAAGCCCAAGAGAAGCTATAAATAACTCTCATTCTCCACTCCATGTGCCCCAGCTACACCAGGACCTCAAACCCCTGTGGTCCTGTTCATCAATAAACTATCTTTCCAATCAGCCTCCATGTTTCCAGTGTTTTTCTCCCCAGTTGGAACTGAACCATATTCCAGTCGGCAAAGCTGGAAAGGTTGGGGAACTTTGCTTTACACCCATTAATGTGGGGGTGAAATGCAGAGGTGTTTGGAATGTCTTCTGCATGAGCTTCCTCCCTTCTGATCTCTAGCCAACCTTCAGTGCAATTATTACTCTGTTGTTCTCAGCACTTTGTTTCCTGAGATACTTTCATGCTCTTCTCACCTGTTTTGTGATCAGTGTTTCTCAATCATTAAAATAATACTTATTTTAATGCCAGGGGCTTAGCTTCACACCGGTGCTGCTTTCCGCTGGATAATAATATGTATTCTGAACAAAGCAACAAATGTGAAATCATGAAACATTACAGGTTCTTCTGGGGAAAACAAGCACTCATTTCCTAATTCTTGCAGTCCTATCAATCAGTGCAAGGCAGTCCCAGTTCCAGCCCTCCATCCATGACTCTCGAGGCTTCCCAATTCTAGCCCAAAGCTGCATTGTTCCTCAGAGGAAAGGCAGTTCCCGGCCCCTTTGATCAGGTCTTGATTGTCTTTCCGGCAGGGGAGTCGGACACTCTGGTGGATGCCTCCATGAAGACAACGCCAACCTCGGCACCAGGACTGTGCCATCCAGATGAGCAGGCCAGCTGGTCAGAGAGCCAGACCACGGTACTGGAAAAGGATCCAGAGGCTGGGCCCCCAGAGAGAGGACCTTACCTACACCCCAGCATTCCAAGGCAAGCACCTGCCGAGGCCCGGCACCTGGGGGTGGAGCCGCTGGTACGGGCATCACGGGCGGAGCTGATTGGTGTGGCCCCGGGGACCGAGGACAGCCTGTCTCTGGGGAGCGACCCCTACGGCAGTGCCTTCAGCCTGTACCGGGGCCGTGCCCTCTCCCTGCACGTGTAAGTAGCCACGGGGCCATGGAGTGGGGTGCAGGGGCCATTGTGCTGGGACCATCATTTTCCCTAATCCCCAGTCATAATCCCCAATTATGCACCACTAAATCCCTCCTGAGCCCCTTCATCCTAACCCCAATCCCACCCGCCCCACTTCATAGCACCTTCCTTTCACAGCCCTGACTGCACTCTCAACCCATTGAGGCCTCCTATACTCTGATATCATTTATTCCGCTACTGCCTCCTTTGTTGCAGTCTCTTTCTTTACCCCTACAATCCTACTATCACTCTTAAAGATTGTAGCTGTGAGACCAAAATATAAAATTACGCAGGTAGGTGTTACCATTCCTACCCACCCACCCACGCCTGTCATCTCCCCTAGCAGTCCCATCCTGGCTCTCTTCCTTTGCTTTTGTAGTTTAGTCCCTGCATTATTATCATATTATTATTATCATCAAACTTCCAGTCTAAAAAGAAAAAAAAAACATCCAAAGACTATATTTATTAGAGATATCTATAAAACTGTGGTGCTATATTCTGGTTTGAATCCAAGTGTGGTAAACTGCTTTAATCTTGAAATGCCTGATAATAGGCACAAATTTTTATCCTAGCCCATACTAAGGGAACATATGTTACTTGTATGTCATATGAAAATTAAGTTTAAATATCCCACATTTCAGTGGAATTTATGTCTAAATTGGGTTGATCATAAGTTAATTTAGATAGGATAATGCAAGAAAAAGAAATACGTGAATTCTCTCTCAAGGGATGTTTAGCTACAGATCTGCTACCACTAGGCACTTATTATTTTCAGGTGTTCAACTTGGCGATATCTTTAGAAAATGGATATCAGATCAGAGAAAACTACACATTTCAACAGGATCAAAGCTTCATTTTGTGTTTTCCTCTGCTTTCCCTAAAATCTCTGGATTAAGGATAGCAGATTGGGACCCAGCAGGCATTTTGAATTGCAAATATTATGAATTGAGATCATGGGACATACTGGCTGAGGTCTATGGAAGTCCAAAAGAAGTCACCAAATTACTTTACCAGCATTTTCCTTATTTAATATTAAAATGTTTGAAATATAGTAGTCACGATTCTGGAATTGCATAGCATTAGCACTGACCCTTTGGATAACATCTGTCACTGATCTTTCCCAGTTCTTGGTCATTCAGACTCAGATTTTATTTATTCATTAGAACATTTTTATATGGCTGCCTGTATTATCTAACATAATCCTTTGTGGCCATCCTGAAATATACAATACAGATATACAATTATTAAAAAACACGAAATAAAGAAGATGGGCTCCAGCACGAGTCTGAAAATTTGGAGGATTAAACCTCTCGTCCCAGTGAATCAGGGGTGGGTTCCTACTGGCATTGGTACTGGTTCGCTTCATTTCACGCGTGTGCACAGTTCATTGTCAATTGTTGACAATTGTTGTGAAGACCATGAAAAACTAATAAAAAACATGCCGGCAATGGCAGCGGAGACTGGGGAACCAGTTTGAGGGCGTGGCCAGCCTGAATCGCTGCTGGTTCTGCGACCCAGGCCAAATTACCACTACCGGTTCACCTGAACTGGTGCGAACCGGTAGAAACCCACCTCTGCAGTGAATGAGCCAGATTGGATCCTGCATGAAAATAAAAAACAGCTTCTCAATAAACTTAAACTCCACCCCACATGCTTAACCAGGTTTTAGTAATAGGGTTAGCCCTCTCATCCATGATCAAATCATTTTATAGAATTCATCAGCCTTACACTCCCACAATCCATCTGATTTTGAGCATATATCCAAGACACTGCAAATAAACGGAATTATAAATCTATGTTTATAGATTTTATAGTTTAGATCTGGCAAAATCACACTTCAATAGAGATGACGCTTTTGAGGTTTGAGATGGGAAAGGAAGGGCAGAGAACTTTGTAAGAAAACACATACACACACTTTTCTCATTGCATTGTGGAGAGATATGAACTTTTTTGGGCTTTCAGCATGCAGCTACTCTGCCCGACAAATACAGGAATGGACAAACAAATATTCCTGAAGTACCAGGAGAAGGCTAATCCTGTTTTTCTAAGGATGACCATCCGCTTGGGTTCTTGATAGCTTGCAGCAAATTGCCTGTGCTTTGCAGCTGGCATCAACTGAGCCACATAATGTCTCCCACAGCTCACATGGATTATTCTCCCTGTGTGATAGGATGGAATATTCAAATCAAGCATAAAGAAACATTTCCTTGAAAGACATAAACTGGAATGTTACACAACTAGGAGAAGAGATGGCATTCGCTACCCAAGGAATTCCTATTTAGAAGACTTTTGTTCCCCAAATTATGACTATCATGGCAGGTCAGCCTCCTATGTATATTGCACCAAAAGTACTTTTGCAAAAGGCAACTGGACTTTCTTGGTTTTACCCTCAAGACATTTCGCTTCTCACCCAAGAACCTTCTTCCATTCTCGCTTAATAGAGGTGAATTGAAGAAGTTATATGGGTAGCCCTCGGTTTACAACAGTTTGTTTACTGACCATTCAAACTCCCACCTTATCCATGAAAGCCAGCTGGGTGACTTTGGACCAGTCACTCTCTCAACCCAACCCACCTCATAGGGTCATTGTTTTGGGGGGGAACAGAAGGAGGAAGGTGTATTGGCTATGTCTACCATCCTGAGTTATTTGTAAAAATAATAAAGGCAAGGTACAAATACATAAAATAGGTAAACCCTTTCTATATAACGTCAGAAAAGTAGCAAGGTAGGGAAGGAAAATCAAGGGTTTGGGCCATGAAGGCCAAATTTCTTCCTCTCAAGATTCCTTCTAACTTCTGAGCTATTAGCATGCGCAGCCCACAGATTTTATTCTTCATTGCTCTGTTATAATTTTTTTAAAAGCTAAGCAGCCAGCTATTTGCCTTAAAAATGAAAAACGAGATTTGGTGGGTTCTGAAAATGACAGTAAAGCTGATGAATTGAAAAGCAGTGAAAACATAGAGTATAATTGTGAGTAGAACTAAGAACTATGTTATGTATCTAGAAGAACAAGTGTTGCTTAAAGATTCCTTTATTTGCCACTTCTTCCTTCCTAAGGTTGCTTTTCCCACCTTTTCCTCCTGCTTATCATCAATAGTGCCTGCCTGCTGTAAGAAAGTGAAATAAAGCCTGTAATATCATATACACACAAACCATTGTCCTTGTTTGTGTGTCTCTTGTGTGCATATCTGAATGTAGCCACATTTCTTGGAACAGCTTAAAATAACATTGGAATGTCTTTTTAGTACGTACCATTGAATTAACTGTGTGTGTAGGAAAAACCATGTTTGAAAAGGATGCAGCTATGTATTCTCCTCCCTTCGGTTTACTTTCTAGCCATGCAAGGGATTTCCCCTCTTTCCAAGAAACTCGACTCAGCCTTACCCTCAATAATTTGATATAACACCACTGAACTGATTTACAGATATATATTTTTCAAACATGGGTACTAACTGGATGCATCGCATTTAGCGAATAAGATTGACAGATGAATTCTCCCTGGATTAATCATAGAATTATATTGCTCAAAGGGAAACAAAGACTTGGTTAGGAAACATAACCTATCAACATTTCATACAAATTAAAGAATGTTAAATGTGGAAGGAATAGACCTTGGAGACTCACATAGCTGGCTAAACTACCTGATATAGAAGAAATCAGCTAAGTGTGTCCCTTTTTATACATACTTATTAGGCCTGTGCAGTGCTAGTTAGTCATTTCCAAAAAGATGTGGGTATGGGTACAGGCATAACATCTGCCTGCAATTTGTTAAATTGATTGCATCCTTTTCTGGAATCACAAAAGTCAGGAAAGAGTGTTCTTTTAAAGAGTTGCAGACAGGTGCTGAGTTCACTTCTTCCTGTGCACCAAATCAGTTTTATAGAATTCAATCGGAAGCACTGCAAAAAATTAATATTTAAATTATTCCAAAGCCACATTAATGCTGTAAAAAAAAACTCTCAAAGAACTAAGATTTCAGTTCAGGCTAATGTATTCAGGTAAGATACAGTCACAGCTGTTTTTCTTCTTAACGAAATGACAATTTCCTTGCCCCTTTTCTCTTTCATCTAGGTAATTTGAACTCAGATGTCATTGCAAGGCCTGAGCCTCATGATTACAGTTCATTGTTCCTATAAGTTATCTGATCCTTTTTGCTCACTTCCCTTGATTTCTGCAGGATCTCCTCCCTTAGCAAACTTTACCTTATCTTATTTTCCAACCACAGCAACCTCCCCCATGGTGGATATCGAAGGGATGGTGCCAACAGCAGCAGCAAAACCAACACAGATATTCCCCAACGCCCAGTAACCCCCCGAGCAGGGCAATGCCCAGTCCAGCCACCTGGAACCAGCCATGGTACCACACCACCTGTGGTTCCTCGCAGAAAACTCTTGATGCCCAATGAATTCCAAGACACGGCATCAGAGGAACTTGATGAGAAGTTGAAGCACCCTAAATCATCTGGCTACTCTCAGGTTGGCACAGGAGAGTCGCGGCCCCAGACACCACTGAGCGAGGCTTCCAGCCGTGTGTCCATCCTTCGCCCATCCCCCAAACTGCCAAGGTCAGGCTCCAAAATTGTTGACAAGCTCAAATTTTTTGAAGAGCGGAGGAAAAGTCTGGAGCAGAATGATAATCCTTTTGTAGGCCACACATGGCAACCCTTACGCAAGTCACGTTCTTTTGACCAGGCTGGTTTTGATGATGCCAGTCCCTTCCTCTCAGCTGGCTCTCATGAAGACCTTCAAGACGATACTCGTTCAGAACTCGGAGACATATTTTCTCGGCGTCGTATCTTCCATCAGAAAGCAGCCTCTTTGGATGAGCGTGGCCGCTTCTCCAGTCATGTGCATGACTTGGAACAAAAGTTCACTGCAGAATTGGGGCGCATCAAACGCACCGTGTCTCAACAGCAGCTGCGGCGATCCCAAGAATTATTCAAGTCACCCACTGCAATTACCACCATTGACTCATCTGTCCCCAAGGTTCCACCACCACGGAAACGTAAACCAATGAAAGTTTTCCCAGCTACAGAAAATGCACACGGTGTACAGCAACTGGTTCTGTCCAGTATGGGATTAGTGGGACCCAGGGATGAACCCAAAAAACCCCAAAAGATTTTGTCAAGGAATGCAGCCATGACTGAGGAGATGGGAGAACAGAACAGAGGTCAAAAGGAACCGGAACTGAACGGCCAAGATCTCCGGCACAAGGTGGAGCAGTGTCCACTCTCCCGTGCTGCTCCAGGGGGACAGAAAAACTTGCTGCAAGTTTCAGCTTTAAATAGCCAGGATATCATGGATAAAGGCCCTCTGAATGCAGCAAAAGTCAGCTATGAATCGAAGGGTCTAAGCGAAGCCTCACATGGCCGGAAACGGGAATCAGGACAGGATGGACATTCTCTACCCCGGATCAAGACAGAAACTGGCCCAGACAGAAGCAAGGCAGGGATCCATGGTACAAGTAGAGAATTCGACAGAAAGATTGGGAAAGTGGTAGAAAAAAAGGACAATACATTGCAACCTCAAGAAGGGAAGAGTGCGCGGAGCAGAGGCAAAGGCCGACGGTCCCGACAAATATCACCAGAACCAGGTAGGGAATAAGAGTAAGTTTTGTGGGTCTATTGGGAAACAACCTGACAAAGTCATGCAGAAATACTTTTCCTATGGTTCATCTTTCCATACAACATAAAGAGGCCCTGAGTTTATCGCATCCTAAGCTCCACGGATGCACTTGCGAAAAGAATTAGTAAATGCTGAGGACACACTTGCTCTCATCTCTTCTCTTCCTCATTTTTTCATTTTCCCATCTGTCCACCTCTTTGGGTTCTTTATATAGATTTGCATTCTTAAACAATATTCCCTCATTTTTAGCTGTCTATGTTAAGCTTGAGTCCAACTGCACTTCAACTGTTTGTTTTAAAAAAGAGAGTTTTGCTGCCAAGGCTCTTGATTATCTTGTGTGAGTGAAGGTGAGAAAGTTTGCATCATGCTACATTCTTTTAGTTATTCACTGTTATTGCTAATTATAATTCAGATTTAGGAAAACAGTAGAAATTGTTGAACACTGCTCCAAATTGTAAGAGGACTAAAGAGCTCTGAATCAGAACACAATTGTGTGGAAGACTGGAAGCAAAAGCGGGGTGGGTGGGAAAGAATTGTATAACAGGGGTACCCAATCCCTGGGCTGTGGCCCACTACTGGGTCATAGTCTACTTGAAATTGGGCCACGGGAATGGCTGAGCAGCTCAACTTGCTTGAGGGCCGGGCTGGAAGGCACACATGCACATGTGCACTGGCCTACCACTTGCACAAGGACTGCATGCAGGTACGTGCCAGACCGCCGCTCTGGTAGCCCAGTTCTCTCTCCCCCCAGCTAGGCCACCAAGGCGCAAAGGTTGGGGACTGCTGCTGTACAGTATAGAGGTGGTTGCCACTGTTAAGCAATATCCAAGCATATTGTCCAAATCAGGTGAATTGGCTTCAAGAAATACAGTAACAATGTTATAGATCAGTAATTTTATATTTCTAGACTGAATCATTTTCTTTGCCTTCCACTCTATTTTATACACTAATATATATCACTGAAAATGATTTGTATGCCCTTCCGCTTAATTAAAAAGTGATACGTAACTTAGAATGTGATAAACCAACTTTATTGCTTTTGGGGACTTAGTGGTTACAGCAGGGTAGCATCCTATCAAGAATTATGATTCAGAAACTGCAGACATACTGAAAAAGATTAAGGGCTTTGAGCATCTATGCAAGCCAAAGTAAGGATTCCCTCAGGATATGATTTTGGAAGCAGTCCCTTATCTTCCTTATTGTGAAAAGATGCTATAGTTTCACACAATCCTCATGCAAGGAGAATGCAAAATCTGTCTTCAGACTCCTAGCCCTCCTTCTTGCAGATCTTCTAGTAACCACTGTTTCTCCATCATCTTGTACAGAATCTTCTGATGATTCCTACATCTCAGCGGGTGAAGATCCCCTGGAGGCTCCCGTCTTTGAAATCCCAATCCATGATGCAGTTGTCATAGCTGGGACTGAGGTGCTGTTCAAATGCATCGTCACGGGCAACCCTTCTCCACAAGGTAAATGCATAGGGTACCACACGCAAGAGCAAATTATGAATCTGTGGAGCCTGGAGGAGTATCTACTCCTAGCTCTCTGATTGTCTCGTGCCAAGTTGTCTGTTTCCACAGGTCTAAGTAATACTCTATTAATTCAATTGTGATTTTTATACACATAATATTGTCCCATATGCATTGATAAATATCCTGCTCAAGAACACGGCTCAAAGTGATCTGATCAAGTTCTTCGCTTTTTTGATTTTATTTTACCTATATTTCTGAGCTATTTCCAAGGTATATCCCATACTGCTTCACCTTACATATGGAAAATACTAGACTTTGTCTGTTGGGCTTCACTTCTGGAATGCTCTTAGTTTGATCCTCAAAATGAAAATACTATCCTTATAAAAAGTAATTTGCTGAGAGAAGTGTATACCCAAAAGTGTGGCAAGGGTTACTTATCAGGCAGCAATAAGCCGCAGTTGATAGCTATTAAAATTAAATTCAGCAGTGAATTGCAGATGTTGGGTTGAGGAACAAAATCAACTTATGAAAAATGGATTAAAAACATGTTTTATATTCCATGACCCCATTTTATGTTTTGATCATTTCTACTTTTCCACTTGCCTCAATCAAGTTCAGCTTTCCACAGTCCTCCACTAAATTATACTGTATGTTCTGTTGACACCACCTTCACGAAGACACGGAAATGTTCTAGGGCAGGGCTCAGCAACCTTAAACACTCAGAGTCTTTTGGATCCGTTTCCTACATAAAAAAAACACAGGGAGACACAAAATCTACCAGGGGTCAAAAAGCTTAATAAATTGCGTGTCGGCAGGTGTCACACGTTGGCAGTTGTGACACATATTTTGAGCGACGGAGCTGCAGCAGAGGGATGAAAGAGCCACATGCAGCTCCAGAGCTGCTGGTTGCTGACCCCTGTTCTAGGAAAAAGACAGAAGATAAACATAGGCTGTCTCTTAATGAAATACAGAGAAGGCAGAACGTTGTGCGATTTCATAACCTACAATTCCTTAGGCAATTAATACTGTTTGACAAATGCAGAATAATCCTTAGATTTCACTTATATCACATCTCTGCCCACTCTGGGTCTTTTCTGCAGTGTCTTGGCGAAAAGATGGCATCCCCTTTCGGAGCAGCACCACTCGTCCCATCAAAGCAGAGGGCGAACGCCACACTCTGCTGGTTAGGAGTGCCCGCATGACTGATGCCGGCCTCTATACTGTCTGTGCAACCAACGAGGTGGCTGAGACCTGCTGCAGCGCCATCTTAACCGTGCGGCCAGGTAAGGGCAAAGAGGGGGGAAGGTGCCAGAGCAGCCAGACTGTCTTAATAGGTGCCTTAAGGCCAGAGGAGTTAAGAGGTTCATATTCCCACAGCATGTGAGAAGCAGCGTCAGGCTTGTTTTCTCAGTGTCCTGGATGGGGGCGCTTAGGCCAGCATTTCTGCTCCTGCTGAATAACGAAGCATGAGGCTGCCTTTACCCTACAAGGCTCGGTTTAGGCCAGCCTGTCTGACGAACAGCCAGCAGGCTCGGAAGAGGGAAGGAAGGGACGACCGGCTCCAACGGAGCAGAGGTGGCGGGATCGGGAGGGGCGGGGGAATCGCTGCCTCTTTGGCCTTCACGTCTTTATCGCTCCTGGCCCGCCACTTCTACACTCGGGGGCGGAGAGTTGCGGTTTCTGGGCACGTGCGAGTAAACTTTGTGAAAGGATGCAACTCAGCCCCTCAATGGATTGGTCTGAAATGTGAGAGAGGGGACCGGCGGGGCTGGGCTGATTGCCTGAAGATCGGACGCCGCCCTCGGGTGAAGAGCGAAGGGAAGGGGTTGCGCGCTGGCTGCTGGGCCGGCTCTGGTGTCTCTCCTCCACCCTGTTAGCCGGATCCGTTTCTCCCCTCGTGGAGGAGATCGCCTATAAAGAGAGCCGGGGCTTCAGCTCGCAGCGGGGATTCAGTTCAAAGCGAGCGCACAGCCGGCGATGTCTGCGAGAGTCCGCTTGCTGCGGGCAGGGCAGGCGCAGGAGGGACGCGCCGTCTCTTTCCGATGCTCTTGCCGCAGAGCAATCCTGTGCTCTTTTGCGCAAAAGCAAGGCCCGCTGGGTTAAATGGCGTTTAACTTCAGGTATGTTTGCACAGCTTAAATTGGAGTTGGAACTTATTCACCGAAAGTGGATTTAGGAAATCGCGGGAAGGACCGAAGGAAAGTCTGTTTGTTTTCAGTACATCTTTGTGTTCATCTGGATGAAGGGGAAAATGAGGATTGTGTGATAGCGAAACGCATCTCCCATAAGCAAAAAACAACCGTAGTGGATTACTAAAGCCTTCAATAATACGGCAGTATATTCTATCCAGAATACAACATAGTTACAGTAGGCTATAGGGTTTTGATGCATAATCTGTTACCTTAGTATATTGCTGTTTAAACATGGCTGTCATGTTAAGCCAAAATATGTTTTTTGTGAGCAAGGCATATTAGTTGCATCGTGGTTTCTTCTTTATCTGAAGTTTAGGGTTTAGTATGCTTTGTGAACTGATTATCTTCACCTGCTGCTAGGGTACATCAAATTGTGAGAGATTTGCAGCCTAATATTTTTACCTTGTGGTAATGAGTCGGAGAGGGAAGAAATAAACAGCACAGCTTCTCCAAGTTGCAAGGGGGTAATCTTTCTCTGAGGAAAATACACTGATTTCTAGTCAGTTTTAATAAAAGAGTTGAGAAGAAATCATATAGTTTTGGATCTTAGGTAGAATCAGTACATTGCTCCTTGTTCCTCTGTCACTATAAATAATATTTTGTTTTAAATAATTCCCTACTGTCTTTATAGGGCAGCATTGGATAGTATTGCCACGGTATCACGATACTCTGCTTTCTCCTGATCTGATGCCCCCAACTGTATCCATTACATTGAATTCTCCCATCAAGTTCTGGATCAGAACTATCCCCCTCTGTCCTACCAGTGCAGTACAAGCTTTCATTGTCCATACTATTAATGTCACCTTGGCCCTTTTCAGGGACAACACGCCAAAAATACTGGTGCCAGCATGAACAGATAATGTTAGTATCCAAAATTGGAGTGCCCTATTCTTGGCTGATATCTTTTTCTTTGCTGATACGGTTTGGCTATAATTCCTTCCACCACCCAGCCATGAATAATGAGAGCCTCTGAACGCGTTGGCTGTAGTATCTTTCAAAATATTTTACCAGAAGATGTTGTTGACAGTGCTTATGTTGCTTCTTGCAGAGTGAAGGTTCTATAATTCAGAGAATTACATATTTTATGCATTTGTTCTAAATGTCTGCTGCTTTATGCCAAATTGTAATTTTATCGCATTAGATTTTGTTGATTAACTCATACAGGTAGCTCTTGAAAGGATGATGTTTTCACACGATGTTTTAGCCATATCAGATTTACAGTAGAAGTTGTTTCTCATTTTATACCCATGCATAAGGACTGACACCAACAAGGCTTGAACTATGGCTAGATAAGACACTGTTGTGGATGTTGGCTGCCTGGGTTGAGAAAAGAACAGCTAAAATACAATAAAAAAAGGCAGGGAAAAAGGCAGGATTTATGCTTTAAATTGTAAACCCGGTCTCTCACACCTCTCACTCTCTCCAGACATATACACATATTTGATTCCTATACTTTACATAAGCTGATATCTGATTTATTTTGTATACATTGAAAAATAAAATCAGTTCGGTGTAATGATTAAGGTGCTGGCCTAGAAACCAGGAGACAGTGAGTTCTGGTGCTGCCTTATCCTGAAAGCCAGCTGGACGACCTTGGGCCAGTTACTGTCTTTCAACCCAACATTTTATGATGCTGTTGTGGGAAAAACAGGAGGATAAAGAAGCACTAGGTATGTTTGCCACGATGAGTTATTCATAAAAAATAATAAAGGTGCAATAAAAAGATCTTTTAAAAAACTACTTATTGCCATGTCCTTGAAGTTGACTGTAGTTGGCTACTGAGAGTGAGTCAACTGCTGGTGTGAAATCTGAAGTGATGTGTAAAAATGGACAATAGTATTGTGCACTTCCCTGAATATATTGCTTGGGGGAATTTAGGACACTGGTCTTTCTGCCAATACTTGGTAGTCCTCACAGCTGCTGATTAAATTAAGTCTGACTGAGGATGCTTGACCTGTTGAGGAGACTGCCTGATTGTTAACTAGCACTCTGACCTGTCAGTAATTGGATGAGAGTCTGAATTTTTTTTTTAAAAAATGATAAATTTGAAGTGATGTGGATGAAATCCGTATAAGGTCTTTATCGCTTCAGACAAAGGTATTACTAGGAAATGTTAGAATAATCACTTGAGGATCAACATGGAGGAAATGACATGTTTAAATGTACTGCCATATTCTAGCAAAAAAAAAAAAAAAAAACACCCACCATTTTATAAAATGGTGGG